CTATTGGGTGATGGTGTGGCTATTGGGTGATGGTGTGGCTATTGGGTGATGGTATGGCTATTGAGTGATTGTGTGGCTATTGAGTGATTGTGTGGCTATTGAGTGATTGTGTGGCTATTGAGTGATTGTGTGGCTATTGAGCAGGTTGTTACAGCGATGATATTTTGTAGTTAATTCTAGGTGTTTACAGTCCTTACAGCGAGTTCTGTGCTAACTCAGAATATCGTCAGGCTGTACACCTAGGGTTGTACTGTACACCTAGGGTTGTACTGTATACCTAGGGTTGTACTGTATACCTAGGGTTGTACTGTACACCTAGGGTTGTACTGTATACCTAGGGTTGTACTGTATACCTAGGGTTGTACTGTATACCTAGGGTTGTACTGTATACCTAGGGTTGTACTGTATACCTAGGGTTGTACTGTATACCTAGGGTTGTACTGTACACCTAGGGTTGTACTGTACACCTAGGGTTGTACTGTACACCTAGGGTTGTACTGTACACCTAGGATTGTACTGTATACCTAGGGTTGTACTGTATACCTAGGGTTGTACTGTATACCTAGGGTTGAGCTGTATACCTAGGGTTGTACTGTATACCTAGGGTTGTACGGTGTTGTGTTTATCAAATTACAAAACTACATTTTCACCCTTGAAAACTTACTTTATTTTAAACATTTAAAAATCAATTTAAATAACAGGCTCTCTTATCTTAAGCGGTAACAGGTTTTAAAATTTACTTTAAAATTCAAAACTAAGAAAGAGATTTTAAAATCTTGGACATAAGTTTTATCATTAATAGTAATTTTTATGTGTTTCAAAATAAAAAGTGAATACTAATAATGATAAAAATACTGTTTATATTTTTAAAAAAACAAAATTATTAAAGGGAAGTAATTCATATTTTTTTACAAATTCTGTGGGAAACTTAAATTGTCTTTCTTTATGTTAACAATGGTTCTCCGTGGACTTTGCATCTTAATTTTAACACTGATGTTTTGTGTTTAATTATGAACAGAAATTTTCTCCATGTATATGTACTCAACAAGAGTAGGAATAATATAATAAAAGTTGGACAAAAGCATAATTTTATTACATTTTTAAAAAGATAATTTAAAATTAAACTTTAATACGTATTATGACTTTGATCGCTTTTTTAAAAAGTTTTTAAATAAATTAACCCGAATTATGCTGAATCTAGAACAACTCTCAGTCTTCTCACGCAGGTAGCGAGCCCCAAGTATAATCCGATTTAACAAAAAAAATTGTCAGTGATTGTTTCTTTTCACCAAAATGGAACCGAATTTGTGGGTGCCCCGTTGAGAAATCAAATTTTGTTATTTGATTGTATTTTTAAATAATCAGAGACTGCCAGCTAGTTTTTTTTTTATCCCATTTTATTTTTTAAGTGAAACAACCGACTCACAAATTTCTCAAAAAGCGCTTGAGTCTAATGAGCTTAAATAATTATAAAGCGTCATATGGGATTACATTATTATTTTTTAGTTGGTATAAAATGTATTGAATAATCTTTATACTACTTAAGTCTAAGAATAACTGCTAAACTCCGAATCTATTAGCTTTGTTGTGTGCTGATTTGAAGACTAACGATGTGATGTTGATAAATGTGATAGGGAAACACAGCTGTAAACCACTATTGCTAACGATGCTTTCCCTTTAAAAAAAAAAGATTTAGAAGAAATATTTAAATTTAAGCATGAACATAGACTGGGAAATCTCTCCTAAAAAAAAAAGTTATTTGTATTAAGACCCGGACTGGCGGGTTAATCAAAGCCAACGGAGGCACCCCGCCAGAGTTCAAATTTGGGTCAGGGAAAATTTAGGAAAGATAGATCAATAATACAGCGCTAGTTTTGTTGTTTTGAGAACGTGGCTATTTTCACCCGCAGGTGGCATCTCTTCCACCTGAAATATGTTGGTATTATTGTTTAATGTTGTTTCAAGTGCCGTGTGTTACTATCAAGTTGTGCTAGCATGTATTTGTCAATGTATACTCTCAAATCAAACAAATGATTGTATGAAACAATGGCTTGGGGACTATCTTACTCTCTAAACTCGAACCCTCCTGTGTACTACTTTACTCTCTGAAGTCGAACCCTCCTGTGTACTACTTTACTCTCTAAAGTCGAACCCTCCTGTGTACTACTTTACTCTCTGAAGTCGAACCCTCCTGTGTACTACTTTACTCTCAAAAGTCGAACCCTCCTGTGTACTACTTTACTCTCTAAAGTCGAACCCTCCTGTGTACTACTTTACTCTCTAAAGTCGAACCCTCCTGTGTACTACTTTACTCTCTGAAGTCGAACCCCACAAATAACTAACGACCATGGCTGATAGCCCAAATACACTACCTCACACTATCGACTCATCCGATTTATTTATTTTTATATTGTGATGTAACATGTAAAAGTTTGCTGTGTCTTGGTAAAACAAATATTAAAGACAACAAATAAATTGTAGACATCGAATGGGATTATTTTTAAATACTTTAATATATTTAATAAATCTAAATTTAGTATTAGTAGATATAGTATGACTTCAATAAAGTATCCTTCACTGAACATTTCACTATACACTTTGATTTTATGCGAAATAGTATCAAAATAAATTGCTCTTGTATAAAATAATTCTCCACATCGTGTTTAATATATGTTACAATTTGGATTTCAATAAGAGCTTGAATGATATTTTGCCAAACGTAAAGTGGTAGTTTTTTAAACGCCATGGTAAATTAAATCTCCATTTCTATATCTATACTGTATTCTTGATGTGTGAGCTTGTTTGTTTGTTTGCTTGTTTGTCTTCTCTGTGCTTATTTTACACGTAACAAAGGTTGATCTCGTGGAAATGTTTGACAAATTCATTAAATTCCATCCTGTAATAAAAATAAATATGTTTAGTATGGCAGTTTGGTGTCAAATATGTTTAGTATGGCGGTTTGGTGTCAAATATGTTTAGTAGGACAGTCTGATGTCAAATACATTCGTTGTTGGATCAACATAAGCATTGCATTAAATGAAATAATACATATTTCTATACTTGTTTATTTGTAATATCTCATTTATGAGTTTACCCAACTATGGCACTTCAATAATTTTAAGCAGCTTTTCTTTGCCGAAGTTTTATATCATTTTAAACGACAAAGTCCAAGCTCGAACATCCCCGCCCCCTCCTCCTAGAAATTTGGCTTAAAACAAAACTTTACTGACGACATTTAGTAAGAAACAACACGAATATAAAAGTTAGAATCAAGTACCAGAACTCTCCATCGTCTTTTTTCTTTTCTCTCAATTCTCTGAGTTGTCTGTCGTTGAGTGAGTTCATCTCGGGGGAACTATGAAATATCAATTGGGTGTTCGAAGTAGAGAAATAACGAATGAAGAATAAACAGGCAATACAATTGTATCTATATATCTATATATATCTATATATATCTATATCTATATATATATATATATATATATATATATATATATATATGTATATATATATATATATATATATATATATATATATATATATTATATATATATAGATATAGATATAGATATAGATATATATGTGTGTGTGTATATATATATATATATATATATATATATATATATATATATATATATATATATATATATATATATATATATATATATATATATATTACCCATGAAATCCATGCTGTTTCAGACTACACCGGGCTAAACTACAGAAACAAACATGTGTCTAAGTTTACCTGTCAGACCATGCACCTGTCCACTCTCCATGTCCCCACGGGTTTCTCAGTCGGATCAAATTCACCACCCTACCGTAGTACCTCAGCTAGGGGAAAAATGTCCATTAAGAATATTTTGTTTTGTTTTTCTTTCATTACCAATATCATTGGTATTATTTTTTTGTTGTAATCCGAATATTCAAATATATAGATGAACTCTGGTGCAAATGTAATCTTTTCTACCTTTATCTTATAAACTTTAAACATTAATAACTCTTTATCAAAGAAATTCTAAAGATGTAATTTCTTAAGTCACACAAACCTATTACCAAGCTTGTCTAAATAGATGAGAAATTACTTTTTGAAACATTCGACATTTTTATTCCGAGTGGCTAGGTTTTACATGTTTGTATCGGTTATTGGACCTTTATGATTGAGTACGTCAACCATCCGACATCATCCCAATCTGTCAGGGCTAGGGGTAGTGCTCTCCCCTGCCTTTAGTCATGTAACAACTATATATAGTGACACCACCCAATGTAACAACTATATATAGTGACACCACCCAATGTAACAACTATATATAGTGACACCACCCAATGTAACAACTATATATAGTGACACCACCCAATGTAACAACTATATATAGTGACACCACCCAATGTAACAACTATATATAGTGACACCACCCAATGTAACAACTATATATAGTGACACCACCCAATGTAACAACTACATATAGTGACACCACCCAATGTAACAACTCTATAACAGGACACCACCCAATGTAACAACTATATATAGTGACACCACCCAATGTAACAACTACATATAGTGACACCACCCAATGTAACAACTATATATAGTGAAACCACCCAATGTAACAACTATATATAGTGAAACCACCCTATGTAACAACTACATATAGTGACACCACCCAATGTAACAACTATATATAGTGACACCACCCAATGTAACAACTATATATAGTGACACCACCCAATGTAACAACTATATATAGTGACACCACCCAATGTAACAACTACATATAGTGACACCACCCAATGTAACAACTATATATAGTGCCACCACCCAATGTAACAACTATATATAGTGACACCACCCAATGTAACAACTATATATAGTGACACCACCCAATGTAACAACTACATATAGTGACACCACCCGATGTAACAACTATATATAGTGACACCACCCAATGTAACAACTATATATAGTGACACCACCCAATGTAACAACTACATATAGTGACACCACCCAATGTAACAACTATATATAGTGCCACCACCCAATGTAACAACTATATATAGTGACACCACCCAATGTAACAACTATATATAGTGACACCACCCAATGTAACAACTACATATAGTGAAACCACCCAATGTAACAACTATATATAGTGACACCACCCAATGTAACAACTACATATAGTGACACCACCCAATGTAACAACTACATATAGTGACACCACCCAATGTAACAACTATATATAGTGACACCACCCAATGTAACAACTATATATAGTGACACCACCCAATGTAACAACTATATATAGTGACACCACCCAATGTAACAACTATATATAGTGACACCACCCAATGTAACAACTACATATAGTGACACCACCTAATGTAACAACTACATATAGTGACACCACCCAATGTAACAACTACATATAGTGAAACCACCCAATGTAACAACTATATATAGTGACACCACCCAATGTAACAACTATATATAGTGACACCACCCAATGTAACAACTACATATAGTGACACCACCCAATGTAACAACTATATATAGTGACACCACCCAATGTAACAACTATATATAGTGACACCACCCAATGTAACAACTATATATAGTGACACCACCCAATGTAACAACTATATATAGTGACACCACCCAATGTAACAACTACATATAGTGACACCACCCAATGTAACAACTATATATAGTGACACCACCCAATGTAACAACTATATATAGTGACACCACCCAATGTAACAACTATATAAAGTGACACCACCAAATGTAACAACTATATATAGTGACACCACCCAATGTAACAACTATATATAGTGACACCACCCAATGTAACAACTATATATAGTGACACCACCCAATGTAACAACCATATATAGTGACACCACCCAATGTAACAACTATATATAGTGAAACCACCCAATGTAACAACTATATATAGTGACACCACCCAATGTAACAACTATATATAGTGACACCACCCAATGTAACAACTATATATAGTGACACCACCCAATGTAACAACTATATATAGTGACACCACCCAATGTAACAACTATATATAGTGACACCACCCAATTTAACAACTATATATAGTGACACCACCCAATGTAACAACTATATATAGTGACACCACCCAATGTAACAACTATATATAGTGAAACCACCCAATGTAACAACTATATATAGTGACACCACCCAATGTAACAACTACATATAGTGACACCACCCAATGTAACAACTACATAAAGTGACACCACCCAATGTAACAACTATATATAGTGACACCACCCAATGTAACAACTATATATAGTGACACCACCCAATGTAACAACTACATAAAGTGACACCACCCAATGTAACAACTATATATAGTGACACCACCCAATGTAACAACTACATTAAGTGACACCACCCAATGTAACAACTATATATAGTGACACCACCCAATGTAATAACTACATATAGTGACACCACCCAATGTAACAACTATATATAGTGACACCACCCAATTTAACAACTATATATAGTGACACCACCCAATGTAACAACTATATATAGTGACACCACCCAATGTAACAACTATATATAGTGAAACCACCCAATGTAACAACTATATATAGTGACACCACCCAATGTAACAACTACATATAGTGACACCACCCAATGTAACAACTACATAAAGTGACACCACCCAATGTAACAACTATATATGGTTACACCACCCACCTGATGGTAGCCTGTGATGCTGTAGACGTGCCCTGCATAAAGACCATTTCCTATCTTCTCTTCTACTTGTTGGTCTGTTGTCTTCTATACAAATATTTATCAGGGTCTTAAGCTTACATTTCAGTATACATATATATGTTTATATATATAAACATAAGATATAAAGAGCGACATATGACCAAGAGGCCTTCACCTATCAGTTGGTGATGTTGAGAAACCTCCTCTTAACTTGACCTAAAATTCTATAATCTTTACATGCCCCAGAATTAACAAACCTCAAAACTGAAATAAAAAATGAACATTTGAACAATACATTTTAGCAAGTTCCCAATAAAAAGAGTATCACAACCCATAAACCACAGTTCTCTTTATACCACCCTTTTGTCAGTAAACGCCCCCCCCCCCCATATTCTTACATGGATCGCAGCTGCCATTACTGCCCGATTATTGCTGGCATCTTGCAGCTTACTATACATGTCGTCTGTTCCTTGGGTCAGGTGACGAATATCGATGACCTCCACTGGACGTCCGGTCAAGTCGCCCAATGCAACTTTCATCCTGCCACCATACAGTGCAGCGTAGCTGCCTTTAAATCTGGTTTTGACAAATATTTTTATTAACAATTTTAGCTCATTTCCAAGCAAACCTTTTTTATCGCTATTAATGTGTATAAAAAATATAAGTGCTGTGATATGCTTTATACCGCAATATATATGTATTTTTGATACTTGTCTACAACTTACTTGGCATAAGCCTTCTCCAACAGACAAGGCCAGAACTCATAGGGCCTCTCACGGTTACTGCAGTAGATGAGTCTCCCAGCCCGTGTGGGCAGATAGTCGTCTACTTCAACTTTTTGCTTTACTCCAGCGGGGTAAAAGTAGAATGTAAATCGTCCTACAATTACACAGAGTTTTAACTTTAAAAACATACGAACTAAGCACCACTAATCTAATATATAAAGCTCAGTTCTGTATGTAATGCATACCTTTGTCGTTGGTCTTGGATGAATTTAAGTATTAGAAAATTATCGTACGCATTTGTCTAAATTTATGAGCTAAAAAATTACTATTGAAAGTGTTGGGAAATAATTTTCATTTTTCAAATTATAGTAATAATTGTCGGCATGTTCATTCAACGCAAGTTTTAAAAAAATATCATCTTTTACAAAAATTCTAATTATGTCTTTATTTAGTCCTATAGCACTTACTTCCCTTTGATAAATTAGGAAAACAAAATTACTTCCCTTTATAAAACCATTGCATTATTGGAAAAGAATTTACTTTTTATTACTTTGTTTTGGTGTTGGGAAAAAAAATAATTACATAATTAGCGGGGATTGATCAAGTGCAAATGTTGTAGGTATTTTACGGATAAGCTTGGAGTATTAAAATTGTTCATTAAATTGAAACAGGCGCGTTCGTTTAAGTGAGTGCAAAAGACTATGAATAAGTTGGGGTACTATAGTCGTTTATTAAGCTAAAACAGGCGATTCCGTTGGGTTTGCGTTAGTGGTTGCGGTTTGATTTGGTTCGTTTTTGTTCTTTCTTTTTTCGTTTTTGTTTGTGTTTTTTTCTTTGGGTTTGTATTTGTGTTTTGGTTGGTTTTGCGTTTGGATTTGGTTTGTTTTCGTTTGCTTTTTCGTTTTTTGTGTGTTGTTATTGGTGGGTATTGGTGTTTGTGGTTGTGGTTGGGTTTGTTTTCGTTTGTATTTGTAATTGTGTTAGCGTTATGTTTGCGTTTTGTTGTTTTGGTTTTGGTTGGTTGTGGTTTGGGTGGGCAATTCCGAGTTTATGATGATTACTAAACACACAGGTGATGGTCTTTAACAGAAATGTTTTTCACAGAAGCCAGAGCAGGGCCTGGCCGGGACGGCTAGTCTATTATATAATCTGTTCGTAATTTAGTGGCAAAGCTGAATAGAGTGATTACTTTTTTTTATTTAGAAACTTTAAATACTTTTATATTTGATTAAACCTAACACAAATCCTGATTAATACCTCAAACATCCGAACTTTAAATGAACACCGTACCGTTAATCATGTCAATTTATTTATACAAATGTTATTGTTATTTTAATTTTTATCACTGTAATTATAACTCCAGATGATAATTGCAAATGGAAAAAAAACTTGATTTGTACATTTAAATTCTTTCTCAGAAACAGGGTAAATAACCCAGTTAAAATGTAAACCGGTCTACAAATAATATTATCTCCCTTGAAGTTTACTACGACTACCTGTATAGTATCCCCTGTCAAAAGACTGGTTTACCGGCACAACTCTCTCAAACTCAGCTCTGTGGTGGGTGGCCATGGCAGCAGCAGACGCGACGAACCAGCAGTCACCTGAAACACACGTGTAAGCTCTGCTACAGTGCTCGTCTTCTTCAGTTATGTCATTTGTAATCACTCTAGCTGGTGAAATCTACATCACTAGATAAATGTTCTTTGTTGTGCGTGTAATTTTTCCTGTTTTAACCACACAATATTGGCTTCTAATGTTTACCTAGTGCGTGTAATTTTTCTTGTTTTAACCACACAATATTGGCTTCTAATGTTTACCTAATCCTCCCTGGTCAAGGTCATGTCTGCTTTGACCCTTCAAGATAAACTGGGGTTGTTCTTTGCTGATTTCCTTTTTACAAAACGGAAAATGGCATTAGAGTTAAAAGAGACGCTAATTATTCCGTGTAACTGATGAATGTATTTTTCTTTATTTGTACCTGATATTGTCATAGTTGTATTTTGTTAGGTGACCGGAAAGAACAGAAAAATGCGCATCGGAAAACTGCGCACAAAAAATGTGCGCAAGGGAATTTATTATTTCTCCATGGACCATGTGTAAATAGATGTTAGCAAAGAATGACTACTTGTAAATTGTAGCACAATAAAACATTTTCCGCGAAATACGACACTTTTAAGTTTGCTTGTCTTTGCGCATTTTTCTGTTTGTGCATTTTTCCGTTGCGCAATTTTCCGTTTGCGCATTTTTCTGATTAATATTAATTATATTGAGGGGGAGGGTATATGGCTACTGAACCACGAAAGTTCCGAGTTCAGACCTTAGGCAGATGATGCCAGTTACCCGGGAATGATAACACGTCTTAGAGAACTCCTAAATCAAACAACTGCCGCCTTTTAGTTTGTTCTTGGATAAACAATGGTCAGTGGCTTAGGCAGGGGGGGGGGGGGGGGGTTAGGGGGGTCATAACCCCCCCATAGACCCCCTCGGTATATATATATATATATATATATATATATATATATATATATATATATATATATATATATCTATATATATATATATATATATATATGTATATATATATATAAAGTATGAGGGGGTGCAAATCGAAAGTCTGAGGGGGGGAGGGTGCAAATCAAAATTCTGAGGGGGGGGGGGGGGGTGCAAATCGAAAGTTTGTCCCCGGGTAAAAATTGGAACCCCCCCCCCCCCCCCCCCCCCCCCCTTGAGACGATCCTGGCTACGCCACTGACAAAAGGTTATGGAAAGAAAGAAAGGCAGGCCGAAGTCTGAGTTAACGGCCCATGTGGCACACGACAAGCTGAAGCATATTACTTATGTTGGAGGATTCCCCTACAAAATGACAACGAAAACTAAAGAAGAGAAAATACCAAATTCAAGGGAAACAATTGTACTTACTCTCGGTCGCTTCCATTCGGCGCTGTGTGCATCATGAACAAAATGATTAGGTAAAGCATTGTGATGCCCTGACAATATGGAGCGAAAGTGTGGAGGGAAGTCTGAGATCTCTGAACAAAGACATCATCTGGTTCTATACTTTATCAGCACTACAAAGTTCCGTCTGTGTCCAACAACTGACTAAACCAACTAACCAGGAACAAGATTGGAAATGTAGTTTTATACAGCTATAACGAAACTGACACAGCAAATTTCAGGTAATGACGGGGTAGGAAATTCTTGATATCAAATCAGTCGATGCCGTGGCCGCTCAGAGTTCTTGGTATAGAATTGATTTTTTTTAATCAGGTTGCCATTAGTAAGCCGCCATGTTTTTATCACGTGACTGCACTCACGTAACTCTCGCGGATATAGGTATACGAAGTATACGTGTAACAATTTTAAAACGAGTTGGGGGTGGGGGGGGGGGGCTTAACAGATCAGCTGCATACTAAACGTTGTTTGTTAATACTATTGTCACTCAAACAACTATAAAAATAAGTTTGAATTATTCAAGTATTTTCTTTTTCCCACATTACAGCATCCAGTTAGGTTACCGTAGTTACCAGATCATGAACGCCTTCATTCCTTCTACCCCCCCCCCCCCCGCCAAACACCCCACCCTCCACACCACCACCACCACCACCACTCCAACCCACATTGTATACTCAAATTGTATGTGTCACACTTAGAAAAACTGTTTTAAAAAACTTCGGCCCAGCTTTAAATAAAATTAATTTTCTTTTTTAAATACCAAGAACTAAGAGGGCGGACTTTCGGTCCATTGCACATGAATGCACATTTTATTTTAACAATACGTACGTGGGACTTTACAGTATATCAGCAAGACGGTAATGTTGTAGAACTTGGAATTCTGGGCTACGCGGAAAGCTCGGCAGTTCCGTAGTTTTCTAGTTGTTGTTTTTTTTTCATTTTTACTTTCTCGTATATACGAAGTATAGAGAAAGTATTGTAATCGTGCACAAAAATCACATGAAATTTTAACAATTTTCACCGTATTACACCTCAGTCCTTCATCACATCCGAAGTATAGAGGACTTATTTTAATCGGGCAAAAATTATCAATTCAGATATATCAAAATTAAGAGGTTTTATGCGTAATCCAGTCTGAAAAACTGGGCTTTGCAATTCTGTCCGTATGTCTGTGTGTCTGTCTGTCTGTCTGTCTGTCCGTGTGTAAACACGATAACTTGAGTACCGTTACAACTAGATTGATGAAATTTCATATATAAGTATTTTATCAAAATCGTAGATCCGTATCAACTTTTGAGCGATTTCCGATAACCGGAAGTGGTACTTTTTCTACTTTGAATTTTTCAAAAGCCTATAACTTGAGTACTATTACAGATAGATAAATGAAATTTCACATGTAAGTAAAAGATCTAATTCTCTACCTTCTGTTAAATTTTGAGTAATTTCCACTGACCGGAAGTAGTAATTTACGCTACTTCCGATTTCTCAAAAAACTATATAAATTTTAAAGTACTAATAATATTGCGCACTATTATGCACTTTTTTTTATTTGCGTTCACTTGGTGTGCAATTCTTTTGTCTACGAGATTTTATTCTATTTTTAAAACTTTAAGTATTTAAAATGGAGTAAAAATCATGTCCCCATCCCCTGTTGTTTTATATAAGAATACTAGCTGCATCCCGTGCTCCGCCACGGTAAATCTGTTTTAAATGTACGAAGTTGGGAACAGAACAAAACTAAACACAACACAAACGAACGCAAAAAATGTACAACTTTGGAACAGAACAAAAACAAAAAAACACAGCACAAAAACAAACACAACACAACCACAACCACAACACAACCACATCGCAACCACAACACAACCACAACGCAACCACAACACAAACAAAACACAACCACAACACAACCACAACACAACAACAACACAACCACAACACAACCACAACACAACCACAACACAACCACAACACAACCACAAAACAACCACAACACAACCACATCGCAACCACATCGCAACCACAACACAAACAAAACACAACCACAACACAACCACAACACAACCACAACGCAACCACAACACAAACAAAACACAACCACAACACAACCACAACACAACCACAACACAACCACAACACAATCACAACACAACCACAGCCACAACATTAGAATCACCACCAAACAACACGCTTATTTAGGCGTCCGCGCCCAAAGAGAGCCTTTATTTAGGTCACATAAATAGATTCTACTCCATAACTTACAATAAAACAATGCGATGCAAATAAATGTACGGCAAGTGGTGTTTACTTTTATGGTTCTAAGAAAACACATTGGTAATGTAATTAGAATCACCACAGAAAAACACGCTTTTCACAGGCGTCCGCGCCCAGAGAGAGAGCCTTTTCAGCATTCTCTATACTATAATTCTAAAATTTCACCATCTGTTAACACCGAAAAACAAAAACAAAAAATAGTGATATTGATAAATCATAGACTAATTAGAAAATAATATAAATAATCTTAACATTTTTCTATTTTACTTATGAACCTTAACATATAATAATCAATGTGGAAGTAATAAAAAAAATTAACTTAAATTATTGAGAGTGAGTTGAATATTAAAAAAAAACATTTTCCCATACGTCCGCGCTCAGAGAGAGCCGTTCCATTCTTCTCAAAAAGTCTAATTTCACCATCTGTTTTCATAACACCGAAAAACAAAAGCAAAAAGATAGTGATTTTTGAGAAATCATAGACTAATTAGAAAAAAATAATAAATAATATAAATAATCTTAACATTTTTCTATTTTAATTATGAACCTTAACATATAATAATCAATGCGGTAGTAATAAAAAAAAAAATTAACTTAGATATTGATGAGTTAAATATATTTTCAAATTACCTCCCTTGCAAACAAAATACCAAAAAAAAGTTGAATTAATTAGTTTTTTCGACCTAATTTCATGATAATATATCCATTTTTTTCTGGGAATATTAACGAAAACTATATTTGACATTGATCCTTTTAATATGTTTTAGCAATGTGCGTGTATTTAATATTCTCTTTACGTTATGCAAAATTGTACAAACAGTGGAAATTATGAAATAGCTCTTTGCCGCTATATAAACAAACCCTACTCTGATACATATAATAAGACACTGCGGTGCACTGAAAAGCACAGCGTGGTGCGCAGTTTACTTTTATAGTCCCAAAATCTATAGCGATGACGGACGGAAGGAAGGACACGCTCAGCCCGCTTATCCTAATTTATAAAAGGCCATGTGCGCTCTTCTCTCTCTCTCTCTCTTTCTCTGTCCGCAAAAAATTTTCGCCGGACATCACGTCAGAATCGGCAGCGGTATATGGAGAACTTTTTACGGACTTTTGTTGAAAATAATATGTTAGATGTTTTAAATGTATAACCACAATTTTACTTAAAGAAGAAAAATAAAAATTAAAGGCGTATTCGAATGTAGAGAAACAGTATTATCTATGCAACCGGAAAAGCATTAATATATGTGAAAAAGAACGCATAAAACTGTGACGTCACTATTGCTTATACACTAATGACGTCATCTGCCGTGTTAAGAATGAAAAGAAATGAACTATTTCATTCAAATTTGATTTAGATCTACGTACACTATGAAATGTATACAATACAATTTTTCCGGCCTAAACTCATAAAATTTATTTTATGTATTTGGATTCTAGATCTAGAGATTCTAGATCTAGACTAAATCTAAATCTAAATCTACGCAATAACTAGATCTAGATCTAGACGTAGACGCTAAGATCTAGATTTACTGATTTAGACTCTAACTTCTCTAAAATCAATTCCAAAAATAAATTTCTATACTAGGACTAAACTATTTCAAGACTTATTTATTTTATACAAAATCTTTGTTTGGAACTGGCTAATTTGGGATAAAAAAATTAATTTGAAAAATAGGCATATTCGCGTAAGTTAAGATTTTAAAATACGTGTTTCATTCTCCGTACTTTATAAGGTGCCTAAATAGCGGAGATGTTAGTGTACATTAAACCACGCAGGTGGTGCGGGTTCGAGACACACCAAGTCAACTTGGTTAATGTATTTTTTTTTTATTATGCTCGGGCTAAACTTAAAAAAAAATTCTTTTAGGAATCTAGATCTAGATCTAGATTGTCGGGTGTCCGGCACTTCCCGGCGCCGCAGGCGCTTCAAATTTGGCAGGACCTTGCCTTGGGGCGACAGAACACGGGGGCCGGTTGGCCGAAAAGTCTACGATGAGGGGGTCAAAACTGACATCGACTGACCGGTACCTTATATGAGCTATAAATTTAAAAAAAATGTCCACGGAGGAACCTCTTCATAACTCTTGAGGTCGTAGACCGACCCTCGGGCGAATTAATTAAGCATTCAAATTCTCAATGTTTTCGAAAGCCTAAGCGAAGCTGGGCAGCATGCCTAGTATTATAGATTCGAGAAAGTTTAGGGGAGATCACTCCCGGTTTATTCTCTTTCTATTGATAATATGTTATCAGGAATTTGTATTGATATATTTTATATTGGTATTTGATTATCGTAATATTATCGTAATATCTGATTCTCAGATTCGGACTTTCAGTTTACAGTCGCCATGTTCTGTAATACACAACGATCATGACGTAATTACATTTATCGGCTGCTATCCATAGCTAGCACGTTTTACCCACAATAACATTGGCTTATCAGTGATCGGTTCAATGTTCAAACTACTTTTGAAACTAATTGGGCTTGGGCTGATGTTGTATGCGCTGAGTCTTTGTGGGGTGGGGGTTGGAGGGTGAGAAATATTGAGCTAAATATTTTCTGACAGCCCGTATTATGGAGTGTGGGGGTTGGGGATTGGAATTGGTTGGGGGGTTAGAATGGGTGGATGATGAGTGGGTGACAGATTAAGTTGAGGATTGTAGGCTCACCGTACACCACAAACTGACTTAGTAACACAGCTCTAGTGAACCAATGCCGAAAAAATCCCCAAGTTAAAAAACACTTTCAGTTATTTCAGATATCTAAACAAATTCTCAAAATTCTACTTCCACTTTCACCACACGACAATACTATCGTCACTTGGAGGATATCTCGTTTGCTGCCATTGATTGACCCAGCGGGGTACATGGACAGTGGCGTAGCCAGGATCGTCTCATGGGGGGGGGGGCTCAAATTTTTCCCCGCACTATAAATGTATATATCAGAGGCGTAGCGTCCCTCCCCGGCCCCAGAGGACAAACTTTTGATTTCCACCCCACCCCCTAAAACTTTTGATTTGCACCCCCCCATCAAAGTTTTGATTCCCCCCCCCCCCTTCAAACTTTTGATCTGATTTGCACCCCCCCCCCCCTCAAACTTTTGATCTGATTTGCACCCCCCTCTCAAACTTTCGATTTTGCACCCCCCTCAACCTTTATGTATCTACCGAGGGGTCTATGGGGGGGGGAGTTCTGACCCCCCCTACCCCCCCCCCCTCCCCCGCCAACGCCACTGTACATGGAGGTCAGTGGAGACCGACAATGCTGAATGTTATACAACGAGACAAGTTGGGAATTCCCGGATTGAGCTCGAGACTGGTGTAGCGGGAAGGGGGATAATTTGTCTATCTTCAAGTAAGATTAACTTTCCATGAGTTAACCAAGGTTTAAATTCTACATTTCTTTGGATTTATAAATAAATATGAATTTCCAGAACCATGATAGCAACTTTATCCCACATAATGTGGTTAAATAAAATACTTAATATAATAACTCTCATTTTAAGTGTTGTTACTGTTATTTAGTTTTTTAAGTAGGGTAGTTTGAAACCTGTTTTACTTTGAATATAAGTGAAATCGACTGCCATCTCTTTTATAATGTCTTTAAGTATTCAAGAACTTTTACTAAAACATATATGCCTACTATAACTGCAGTTGAAACTGAAGAGTATGTCTACTGAACATTTGACAATACATAAGAAAAGGGCCTAGTTTATGACATTTACAAGACCATAACTACACTATACCAAACAAGTCTGACAAGACATTTTATGTGTCTGAACAGACAAAAATGTTAAATAATGTACCGGAGTAGATGTGACTGCAGCGTTTTAAAATAGTATATAGAAAGTTAGTAACTATAAATTGTCACAATTTAAAAAAATAGTAATTTCAACGACAGAAAACGTGTTATTTATTGCTTTAAGCAAACAAATTATTTTCTAATTTCGCTAAACCGAAAAATGTAGTCTTGTTAATGTTATAGTGTATAAAAATAGTTTCTAAACCACAATAAGATTTTTTAAAGTTTTGGTGTAGACAACATTAGTAAAACAAATATTGTTTCAAATTTAGGTTAAATTACAAGTAAGAAACGGCAAGAAATGAAATCGAGGGTTAAAAATTGACATTTCAAAATGCATTATTCGGGCAGGATGCTTTATTTAATTAGGACTTTATTGTAGTAAATTTAATGGAAAGATTCACAGTAACACAATTATAATAGAAGCTTACATGTCAAAACTTGATTATATATTGATTCTATAAATAAAATACAGAAGTAAACATTTATTTTTTAAACATTCTTTGTTTCATATTAAACACTAGCCGTCCCGGCCAGGCCCTGCTCTGGCTTCTGTGAAAAACCTTTCTGTTAAAGACCATTACCTGTGTGTTTAGTAATCATCATAAACCCGGCATTGCGCACCCAAACCACAACCAACCAAAACAACAAAACGCAAACATAACGCTAACACAATTACAAATACAAACGAAAACAAAAACCTAACAACAAACCCAACCACAACCACAAACACCAATACAAACACGAAGAAAAAACAAACAAAAAAGCAAACGAAAACAAAAACCTAACAACAAACCCAACCACACACACCAATACCAACAAAAAAAACAACGAAAAAGCAAACGAAAACAAACCAAATCCAAACGCAAAACCAACCAAAAACACAAATACAAATCCAAACAAAAAAACACAAACAAAAACGAAAAAAGAAAGAACAAAAACGAACCAAATCAAAACGCAACCACTAACGCAAACCCACCTAAACACAAAGAAAACACTAACGCGAACATAAACGCCCGGGGCGGAATCACCTGTTTTAGCTTAATGAACGACTATAGTACCCCAACTTATTCATAGTCTTTTGCACTCACTTAAACGAACGCGCCTGTTTCAATTTGATGAACAATTATAATACTCCAAGCTTATCTGTAAAATACCTACAACATTTGCACTTGATCAATCCCCGCTAATTATGTAATTATTTTTTTTTCCCAACACCAAAACAAAGTAATTAAAAAGTAAATTATTTTCCACAAAATGCAATGGTTTTATAAAGGGAAGTAATTGTGTTTTCCTAATTTATCAAAGGGAAGTAAGTGCTATAGGACTAAATAAAGACATAATTAGAATTTTTGTAAAAGATGATATTTTTTTAAAACTTGTGTTGAATGAACATGCCGACAATTATTACTATAATTTGAAAAATGAAAATTATTTCCCAACACTTTCAATAGTAATTTTTTAACTTATAAATTTAGACAAATGCGCACGATAATATTATAACACTTAAATCCATCCAAGACCATCGACAAACATATGCGTTACATACAGAACTGAGAACCCTCTCCACGCCTCGTCAGACACAGCTACCCACTCCCCCCTCTCCCCCTCTATCCACTTACCCTCAGACATGAAAACACCACTTTCCCTTTAACTGTTCCAACGACCCCACCACCCACCCCAACATCAATTTCGAATATCTATTCATTTACTTTTTAAAGTTCTAAATCTTGTTTCTTTCCCCTCATGTTTTACACAGCAACCTTTTGAAAACTCAATGCGACCAGTACATAAATAAACACTCTTTTAACTAGTCAACTTAATTTGTTTCCCTACATTGAAAATGCTCCACTGGCCCTTTGTCATTCTCGGAAAAATATCCTTTCCACTCCCCACCCAGACTTCTGACACGTTTATTTGACCTTCACCCCTTTTACTGCCATCTTTTGTAATTTTTGTTATAATCATATACATGACATCACGCAAATATTCATTATGTACATGTTCAAAACCTTTCGTTTTCATTTGAAACTATGTAAAAAATGTGATGTTGATGTACTTGTTTTAATTGCAAATAAAAGTATTAAAAAAAAAAATATATATATATATATATATATATATATATATATATATATATATATATATATATATATATATATATATATATATATATATATATATATATATATATACATATATATATATATATAATTCACTTTTAAGTAAAAAAAAAAAAAAGGATTATCATATTGAAGATAACAGGATGAACCGTTTTAAACCCACCAACCCAGACGGCAGTAAAAAAATCGATTTTTTTTTCAATTCTCCCTATTCAATCTAACACGTGGTATATAGTCGGTTTTGTGGTTTTCTCAGTCTTGACAACATTTAACCTATCCAAATACCAACTGGCTAATAAAATATGCATCTAGTTTCTCTGAGTAAATACTGACAATGAGGGTTCATGAAATGTTTGTACATTTTAAACATGCTTTCATAAAAAGACAAATGATACGTTGAATTGTTTGTCTATTTTTATTTAAAAAATAGTTTTTCAGTGAAAAAGTTCAGCTAACCCGTCAGGCCATGTGAACACATTGACGGGTGTTTGTTGGCTCTAAATTGACTTTGACGCAGTTAGACTGTTTTTATTCTTTTCCTTTTTTACTTATCTGATATTTTGATTATCATTAAACTCTTATATTGATACGTGTTAGTAACTTGGCGTTTGATATCTTGTTTGGTTATTGTGGTTTGATTTCTTGATATATGGTTTATTTTTTTCAAAATGTCCATAGAGATGATTTTTTTTGCCTTTTAATTTGCTGGAAGATGGCATATGTTGATCTGATCAAAGTTTTTGACAAACTCATGGAACTCCATCCTGTAACAATATAATAAGTTAAATTAGGTCATGGTTTGCCAATAATTTTAAAAAAAATGCATCAAATCATAACAACCAAGCACCAATAAAGAGAAAGGGGGGGGGGGGGGGGCGACAGAAATAGAATAAAATCCATACGGTTAACGGAAATAGTTCAAAGTTGACAGGAGACTTCGTATACAATTTAACAGTAATATGTGAAATTTAGTCCACTTGACTTTAACGATACTAAAGTAATGGGCTTTTGAGAAACCGCAAGTGTAGTAGTAAGTACTATTTCCGGCTACAGGAAATCTGTCAAACATTGATACAAAACTACAACTTTCGTTTAATACTTATATATTAAACTTAGTAAAACTAACTAAACATTACTCAAGCTATTGTGTTCAGATATAGAGAGGGAGAGAAGATTGCAAAACTGCGTTTTCATCGACGCAGAACAACGATTTTTCCGCAATAACAATACTGCCTCTATATTTCTTATGCGACAAAGTAAAAACTGTTTCATTTTCGTGACTTATTTTTACTACAATTACCTCCTACGCATTTAAGTATTACGTGAAAGCATGTTAATTAAGCGTCAGTTAGTCTGCTGACTCCGATTTCACCCTAAATTCTTTCTGGATTTGCTTCCATAGCCAAGGCAGCGGTTGTTTGATTTTATAGTTTTCTCTCCTAGATGGGTTGGTTTCACCAAGCTAACTCGGGACTTTAAGAGTTAAAAATTGTGCGCTCTCCCTCTTGAACTCCCCCTGTTTAACTAAAGTAAAAAGTCTGTTGTTCTCAGTTGCCGTTCTGGTCTGGTTTAATGAGTGGCTACTGAATATGACGTGTTGATTCTCAGCACTAAAAATACCCGTTCTCCGTGACAAACAAACACCCATGAAATCATATATTTTGCACACAAATGCTCTTCGGCCCCTATTTATAAACATTTTACTCACCTCCTACCCACCGACATGTTCCTTTTCCTGGACGTATCCGCGGCCACTTCGCTGAATCCACCCGTATGCCCCACTCACTACACTCTATGTATGCCCCATTACACACACACACACACACACACACATTACGTCTTTTGTCGAAATACTGTTTTTGTAAAATGTCGTTACATTTGTTACTTTCTCGTATATACGAAGAATAGAGAAAGTCTTGTAATCGTGCAAAACAAATCTAGATTTTTGCAAATCTCGACGTTTTACAGCTCCCTGAGTCGGAAAACCATAGTTTTGCAATCTTGTCTGTGTCTATGTGTGTGTGTGTGTGTGTGTCTGTAAACACGATAACTTGAGCTAGGTTAATGAAATTTCTAAATAAGTATTATATCAAAATGGTAGATCCTTATCACATTTTGAGCGATTTCAGATAAACTTTATCTACTTTCAATTTTTCAAAAGCCTATAACTTGAGTACTATTTCAGATAGATCAGTGGTTCCCAAACTTTTTTGAGTGGCGACCCCCTTTTACAAAAAGTAAGTGACGCGCCACCCCCAAGGAATTAAAAAGTCGAAATTAATAAGGAAATTTATTAGAACTTATTTTCTTGTAGACTTTCAAAATGAATTATTCTTGATAACTGTTTTAATACGATGAGTAAAATTGCATGCTATTAACTAGCCTCAACATTCGCAGTTGAGTTTTTGTTAATTCCAATCTCATGTCATTTATTTCTATATTTTGCTTTTAATTGGAAAATTGTTGAAAATCTATTCTCGCAAAGATATGTATACACAAAAGTAACTAAAACTCGAAAGGCAATCAATTTCAATCAATTTTACGTTTTTCATATGACGCGGAGTAATTCCGCAAATTTTAAGAATTCATCTAGTATTTCATCGGGAATGCTGACAACATCAAGGGAAGCAGAGAATGGGTTACGTCACAGCGCAGTTTCTTTTTTTTTTTTTTTTTTTTTTTTTTGAGCTCAGGGAAAATAACACGGCGGTTCGTTTTCTAGAGATTTAAGATGCCCAGAAATTTATTTTATTCGCCAATTTTGCAGCTTTGATATAAATGCCCAAAGATTACCCAGAAAAGAGATAATATTCGTTCATTTTGTATGTTGATGATCGAATATATCTGCTAGGTATGTTACCACACCATGTCGTTAAAGTATATCGAAAGGTCTTGTTTCCCTTGCACTTCCAAGATTAGCTTGATTTTATCTTTCAATTAAAAAAACACGATTCACATTTCATTTTGATAGCCAGCGAACGGCAGTGTAGAAAAGCAAAACCTCGTGATCTTTATTCATGTCTTGGCACAGTTCTTTAAACAGACAAGTGTTTAGGGCTCCAGATTTAATATAATTTACGACTTTTATTAGTAATCAATGCTAGATCTAAAATCTAGATTCTAGGTCAAACCAAAATTAATTAGTTAAAAATAAAAAACCATTATAAAATCACAATAAATTATTTAGTTTCTTTATTAAACTGTTTTAGTCCTTAAATATTTCATATAAATTTTTGTTTTTTAGCTTCACGGATCATCTATTTTTTTAGAATACAAGGGATTTATCTATCTAGATTATTCTAGATCTAGAACTAGGGAAATACTAGACAAGCAGTCGTATCGTAGATTATAGATCTAGAAAATTCAATCTAGATCTAGATAAAAATGAGTTTCTATACTAAACTATTTCAGGCCTTAATTATTTTATATAAATCTTTGTTTAGCTATGGAATTGTCTAATTTAATTTAGGATAAAATTTAATTTTTAATAATACTAGGGTCTATTCGAGTAAATCAAGTTTCTTACGCAGACTCAAAGTATAAAATTAGAGATAAATAATACTTTCAGCTAAGATGTTAGTGTTATAGGTTACCATGCGTGTGGCACGGGTTCCAGACACATCATCTCAATTATTTTTTCTTCAATTTTTTTTTATAGATGTGCCTATAAAGTTGCCTATCGGAACTTGGCGGGATACAGGGGAGGTGGAGTAGAGTTTACCTGGTTTTTCTTCTCCGAATATGAAGGGATATTGTGGTCAGAGCCATGCTCGGCCGACATCTTTTTTAAACGATAAAAACAGGTTTGTCTGAGACTTAGCGGGACACTGGGCAGGCGAAGTAGAGTTGGGTAGGTGTAGAGTTCACATGTGACGTCAACATTTTAAGGTAGAGTGTGGTCAGACCCATGTTTAGCCGAAATCGGTGTTTTAAAAGACAAAAACATGTCTCAGTTGGGGGGACGCTGGGCAGGTGACATCAGCATATGAAGGGATAGGGTGCTCAGACCCATGCTCAGCCGATAAGGGTGTATTTAAAAGAGAAAAAAAACGTCTAAGATGTGACGTCTTTTTGAATGTGGGGTCTGGTATTTTGTGACGATAAGATGACCCCCGAAATCCACAGTTATCTAAAGGATGACGGGTGGTCTAGTAACATTTAAAATTGTTCTAATATATCAATGATGAAAACCAGTGAACTGTTGATGTTTAGATGTTCTAACTTTAACCGCGAGTCATAGAGATGAAGCTATCCCTTACCAAAATTCTCCGTCATCTAGTAAATGAAATTCCAACTGCAGCTTTTGTTGTTCGGTAAGACGGTCAGCACAAAAACTAAGGAAATGAAAAATTAAATGACATTTAGCAAAAAAAGTACAATGTATTAGTTTTTCAGTTATTTTTCATAACTAAATGGTCAGTAAATGGCATCATTCAAAAATGACACATCTTTTTCTATGTTATTGTTACATTTTTTTATTAAGGTTAATTGTGTATAATACTACTGCAAATAAAATTAACCACGCAATAAAAGTATGGACAAGTTGACCTTAATTTTTAATACAGTGCAATAATTACCTGTCAGACCAATTACCATTCCATTCTCCTTTTCCCCATGGGTTTCTTAGACGAATCAAATGTATAACTTTACCAAAATAAACCAACTAAAAAGAAAGTTTATTTGCATGTAATAATTAACATACAGCTTTTTACTGTCTTTATTGGTAATGACTACAATAACACATCTATTTTGTAAACTCTATAAACAATCTTAGTTATGAAATTAGAACCAGAACTTTAAAATACGAATAGCAAGATGTAAGTCGCGTTTTAAAATAACAGTGCTTACGTTCCGTAAACCAGTGACACTATAGGCGTGTCCTTTAAGAAGTCCGTTAGGTGGGTCATCATTTCCTAGTGGGTCAGGCTATAATATTTTGCATTAAAAATTAGTTAAGAGAACATATATATATATATATATATATATATATATATATATATATATATATATATATATATATATATATATATATATATATATATATATATGAGAGAGAGAGAGAGAGAGAGAGAGAGAGAGAGAGAGGGGGGGGGGGGTGTTATAGGTTGTTCCAACTCAGTGTGTGGAGAGATGGGTCCACATTTTCATTCCTACCTGCAGTATGCTTGTAGGTTATCAAAACAAAATGCAGTTATTCTGTAAACATCATGTATATATTGTGAGCACTGTGCGTTTATGTTTGCATTTAAGTTTGCGCTTTTGCTCTGCGTTGTTTTGCGATTAGTTTTGCGTTTTCGTTTGTGTTTGCGTTGTGTTTGTGTTTATGTTTGCGTTTGTGTTCGCTTTTGTATTTGTGTTTGCTTTTATAATTACGTTAGTGTTTGCGTTTTTTATTTGTATTTACGTTTGTGTTTATTTTGTGTTTACGGTTTTGTTAATGTTTATGTTTGCTTTTGTGATTGTGTTTGTATTTGTTTTCATTTGTATTTGGGTTTGCTTTTAGGTTTGCGTCTATGGTTCTGTTTGCCTTTTTGTTTTGCGTTTGCTTATGTATTTGCATTTTTGTTTGGGTTTTGGTATGTTTTTCGGTTTTGGTTTGGATTTTTTGTGTTTGGGTTTAGGTTTGTGTTATACTTTGTGGTTTTTTTTTGTATTTGTGATTGCAAGTGTTTGTGTTTTGCTTGTGGTTGGTTTTGGTTAGGGTTAATTCGAAAAGTAATCTATTTCCTAAAGCCGGGCGATGCTGGGTATATGCTGCTTAAAAACCCACTAGTCATGGTCTTTTACAGGACCAATCTTACCATACAAGACACCAGCATCGCTCAACTAACTAGTCTTACCCTCCAAGACACCAGCATGTCTCAACAGACCAGCCTCTCTCAACAGACCAGTCTTACCATACAAGACACCCGCATCTCTCAAAAAGACCAGCCGTACCATACAAGAGACCAGCCTCTCCAAAGACTAGTTTTTCCATACAATAGATCAGCTTCTCTCAACACACCAGCCTCTCTCAAAATAGGGGTCGTCCATAAATGACGTCACACTCGTAGGGGGGAGGGGGGTCCGTAATTTTGTGACGGTGTGTGATGAGGGGGAGGGGTTCAGATGGTGTGACGTCACTTTTTTGCATTATAAAAAAGCAATGTTAGAAAGCGAGTTGTAGCCGTTATTTCGCGTTTTAGAAAACGGTTGTAATAAATTGTAATAGGAATTGAACAAAATACTCTATGTTGACAGAGTTCTGACAAGATTTTGGAAAAATATCGATGTTTTAAGAAAAATTCAACAGCAATTTGGGGGGGGGGGGTGTAGGCTGAGGTGTGACTTCATTTTAGGGGGGAAGTCTGGCTTTATGTGAC